TTAGGAAGATAGAAATTGTAAGAAATAAAGCCTCAAATCTGGGCAGCTTTGGCTGTAATTCTGTCAGCGTGTGGCGAGAGATCAAGATTACTAGTGTAGCTTAAACCCAAATCCTTGATGGTGGTACATTCAGTCCTAGAGGTGCCTTGAAAGACCACTAGCTGGGGTAGCCTATCAGGTCCGAAACACATATAGCGACATTTAGACGGATCGAATTCCATTAGCCATTTTGAGCTCCAAGCTGAGAGAGCAAGCAAGTCAGCATGGATTTGCTCCAGGCAATGAAGGCTCGTAGATTTTTTGAAGGAATATACACATTTGAGATCATCGGCATGAATAAATGATTGAGAATGTTTAACTGTCTCCGAAATATCATTTATGTAAAGCAGGAATAAAAAAGGACCTAAAACGGAGCCTTTTAGGACACCGCTAACAATAGGGCTTTCGCTGGAAAGTGAAGATCCCAACAAAACCTTTTGCTTACGATTAGAAAGGTATGACCTGAGGAAGTCTATTAGTGGACTATGAATTCCCGGAGCTTCTTAGTTAACCAAGAGTCTTTTATTTGGCAATCTATCAAAGGCTTTTTGAGATTAAATAAATAACGAAAACAGAAAGATGGTCGTTACGAAGAGAGGTAAGTAGATTGATAAACGATAGATGACATGATTCACAAGAGCGATCTGGTGAAAAACCAGGTTGGAAAGGACAAAACACTTGATGGGCTATGCAAAAGTCGGTAATTCTTAAGGCGAGAATTTTTTCACAGTTTATAGAGAGATAGGTTGTTTGATGGACAGTTGGATAGTTCTGAATGTCAGAACGACTGCCAGTATGACTGGTATTCAAGTCTAAATTACGCAAACACCTTACACCGGAAAGCATAAAGGCACTGTTAACGGTCTCATTCCCAAACACTCAACTTCTTGGCTTCGAGAAGGGGCCTCCTGGGATTTAGTGGTAGATCATGTGGTAACTCTTAATTATATCATTAGAAGCCCCTGTTTTGAATTGGTTTCTAAATCCACTGCTATCACTCCTCCCCCATAGCGACAATTTTCGCGGTTTTTGATGTCATCTCCCGCATTCCGACCTCATGCGGTCTGTCGACACTCACGGCGGAACCCTCAGTGTTCGCCGTATACTAGTAGTTTGGTCGTACCTCCCTTCCCCACTCCTCAGCTGAGCTCAAAGCGTGCTGTGGCCGATCGCGTCTGGGTTCCTCTCGTCCGGCCTCTTTGACGCGAATAGTCTCATGTGGCGTATCAATCCGGCCCAGACGATGTCATTTGTGAATCCCGTATATCGTACCACATGCAGGCCGGTCCTCTCTGACCCACATACGTACCCCCCAAGGCTGACATTTATTGCTACCCTGACGACGTCCGACAACAATCCGTTATATACCGCCACCTACAGGCCAGTCCTGCTCGCTTTTTCTGTCATTACTTTTACTGAGGGGTTTTTTTCTCCTGCAAAATTAATCCAATCATATTTAACTTTTTGTATGGAGTTTTTTTCACCCCTCACTAATCATGTTTCTCAATGGACTACTAATTTAGAAATTATGAATTGCATTTTGTAAAGATTCTGCCTACCTCGTCTAAAATTCACATGTAAATTTATTTTAACTTGCTTTGATGGGACCCCGACGGGTCTTTAATAAAAAAATTATCATTTCCATTTAAATACTGCAGTAATAATAGAAGTTTCCCAACAGTCAGGATAGAAGCCATTTATGAGAAATACTGTAGAGTGTTTGCAAAGCAGAGGAGGAAAATCTCTTAGCTGTTTTATAATTGAGTTCGGAATATTGTCGGCACCTTCTGAGTTAGAGCTAATAAGATAGTTTATCAATTTTCAAACGGTTTCAGGAGCAAAATTATTTATGCTGAGGGAGACATCAGATAATGCAAGAATTAAAGCGATTGGGTCAGTCTCAATGGTGAAATGTTTGGCAAAGTATTAATTTAACATTTCTGTTTTGCCTGACTCCTCTCTACTCAAGGTCTCATTGGTTCAAAGCAAAGGCGGAATGACTTGGTGGGACGTAGCAGATCATCTTTGACGGAAGATCTGAGCAACTGATTTAGAAACATTCACGTCATTCAGAAAAGCTCCCACAAATTTTGGATGCTGAATCCACTGATCGACTCTACCGTAGCGATGGCGTTTATGGTCTCTGAACACTATGGCCTGTCTCACCATGGACAATTTCTTTGGCCAACAGTGACAGCTGTTCCTCAGCGCCTCTACTTTGACTATCCCCAACTTCATGAAAGGAATTGGCGTCCGATAATCTCCGATACCGTGCAAAACCCTTCCTGACGGTCGAATGTATAGCGCCAGCAGTTTTTTCTCCTGAACCCTCCAAACCATAAAAACCACCATCAAGTATATTTTTATTCCTTTAACTCAGGAGTTTTTTTTCACTGCTGGTCGGTGTTTAACTCTTCCCTTGAAAATGCCTGTAAACTGGCATTAAATAAAATTATCATATCATATCATTAATAGCTAAAGACTCTCTACGCCTATCTCGCGCGAGTCTCATTTTCGAAGCTAGTTCAAATATTTCAACGATTCTTAGATGAACTGATAATGAGCTCACAGTCAGTCAGTCAATTTATTTGAGGGAAATATGCTTACGTCTTTGAACTCCCTATTTGTACATAAAAAATCGATAAATTAGCAGAATGTGAAGAAATTAGAGCAGTAGGTGCATGCACGCATTGATTCACATATGTCACTGGTCTCATGGCCAAAAGGTCACATAGTCCGCTTGTTGCTGTGGCATATGTATGTCAAGCCTACGTTTAAATGTCGCCACAGATTGAGACATGACAACCGTCTCGGCCATATTAAACATATATACAATTATATTAGGTCATAGTTAACAGTCGACCACTACTCCTTTAATTTCACATTAACAAGAACAATATGATACATGATTCAATAGTATTTTGACAGTTTCGATTGTGCGTTACCATTGAATGCATCTTACTCCTGATATATATTCATCTTTTCCAGCTCTTAGTCCATACAACGATGGTAGGCCTCCTGAAAAACACGTAGGAACTGTGCGACCGCCTCTTACAGGTGGTCAGATAGACTGACAACCAGCAACTAGAGCACACCGAAATTTACCCAACAGGAAAATAATTTCAAGGTCAGGCCGATATCAAAGTTCTTCAAATGCCATGAAGGACATGTTATTCATGCCCCCAAAAACTACCAAACTGCAAACTTCAATTTCTAGATTGTACATATCGTTATTTTTTAAAACTTTTGTTATTATTTTCCCTTAGAACTGAGGTTTTTTAACTTAAAACAAACTCAATTCGCGCTCTTTTGGCTAAATAGACACCCAAAACAAATGAAGTCAAAGTACAGTTGAAATTGATGAGTTTGTTTTGGGTTTTTTCCTGAGTTCAAAAGGGACTGACAGTGCCCAAGGGACGCTACAATAAACCTTTTCTATTCTATTATTCCACGGTTCCACGACACGGTTGGAGAAGAAATATTTTCTCACATTCAATCTAGCCTGGGGCACACGTAGCTTTAAGGGATGTCCCCGGAGGTTAGTTGTTGTGGCGAGTTGGAAAAAGTCATCGCACCGAAGGGCGCAGTCCAAGCCACGCACGATACGGAAAGTTTGTATCAAGTCTCCGCGCAACTGCCTATAACTCAGAGGATGGTGATTAAGATTTGTTAAGCGGATCTGGTATGGCAGTGCACTTGGACCTCTTACTAATTTTGTGGCTCGCCTCTGCCCCCTTTCGAGCAGACTGTAATCCTGATGCGTCCACGGTCTCCAGGCCTGAATTGCATATCCGAGGTGCGGCCTTACAAACGTGCCGAAGACTTTGTCGAAAACTGCGAATGCCCGCTTTATGGCATATAGCATTGAAGTTGCGGCCACGGCCGCCTTACAACATTGCGTAGAAGGCTTAGGGCTGTCTGCAACCCAGACTCCGAGATCTTTCTGCGTTTCTGCTTCTCGAAGTGGTATTACGTTTGGATGGTATTGCTGCGTACTAGGGGTCTGACTTCCGAGGCGCAGCATGGTACATTTGGTCAAATTGAAGGATAAGAGCCATCTGCGGGAACACTCGTCCAATCGACAAACATTTCCTTGGAAGTTGGTCTCATCGGTAGCATTCTGGATAACTTTCCAGATTTTTATGTCATCCGCAAACATGGCACTATCACAGTCCAACACATCTACGCAATCA